ACATGTATTGGGGCGTCCTGCCCAACAATTGAAACACAGAAACACTAGCCAGATTGGCAAGATTTCAAATGTTTCAAATTGCGTCGTCCATGACGAAAGGTGTAGGGGGAAATGAATGCCAACCGCTGAAAACCAGTATGAATAAGTTGTTCACCAGAAAGCAGTTTCGTTTAAGGACTATTACGCTGCACGGCAGCTTTGTTTGGGAATGACTTACGAGCAATTCCACTCGTCTGATCGCTCCATGTAACATTAAGTGTCGTGAGCTAATTGCTTTGACCGGCGTGAGTTGCCGATCGGGTGAGAGGCATTCTGAACATTTTCCGATTTCGGTCAACCAGACTTTGGAGCATTTTCAAATTTCCGTCTAGCGAGTTGTACTTCTTACATCGCTGACGAATCCTGGTGAGTTGGGCTCAAGATTACTCGTTCCTAATCTTCTTGTCATGCTCGGTAAGCCTTGTTGATGTATTCATGAACCATGCGATGTGTATTGAAAAAGGAACCATTCAAAGAGATGGCCTGCTTCATGATCTCCACAAAATTCTCTCGTCGCTGGTAGTAACAGGGGAGCACTTCGTTCTCCAACTGACTGTATAGAGATTCTGCGTTAGCGTCGTGAACTTCATGATTGCGGCTTCCGATAGCCCAGCCTGTAATTCCTGGCAAACACCCTTCAATCCACCAGCCATCAAGCACGCTTAATGATGGAACCCCATTCATCGCTGCTTTCATCCCGCTAGTCCCTGATGCTTCTAAGGGAGGTTCAGGTGTATTAACCCAAACATCAACGCCGGGGATCAGTATTTTAGCGAGACTCATGTCATAGTTGGGTAGATAAACAATTTTGATATCATCTTTCATTGATTTCGCTTTCTGAAAGATACGTTTGATAATCTGCTTACCTTCTTCATCTTTGGGATGTGCTTTTCCTGCGAAGACAATTTGAAGCGGCCCCTGATGTCGGCTCATATTTCTTAAGCGATCAATGTCAGATACAAGCAACTCTCCCCGCTTGTAGGCAGTGGAGCGCCGTGCGAATCCAAGAGTCAATATTTCGGAGTTGAGTTCTACTTCAACTGTGGAATTGATGTGCTGGATGAGGCGTTGTTTGGCTTGCTGATGGGCCTGCCAGATTTCTTCGTCTGGAATCAATGAAGCATAACGCAGGCTGAAATTATCGTTCCTCCAACCGGCAACGTACTGATCGAACAACTTTGCAAATGACTCGCAAACCCACGTGGCAGCGTGAACACCATTGGTGATGGCATCTATGGTGTACTCTGCGAACATCTGCTGCGAGATTTCTCCATGACGTTTGGCGACACCATTAACATATCCACATAGCGATAGAGCCAGATAGGTCATGTTGAGTTGTCCTTCCAGACAGACTTGGTCAGCCACATCACAAACCTGACGATGACCTAAAACCTCATCAACCAAATCCATCGAGAAACGATCATGCCCTGCTGGAACAGGTGTATGTGTTGTGAACACACATTGTTTCCGTACAGATTCAATTCGATCCGGTGAGAGATTCGCTAGAGTGATCAAATCTGTTTTAGATGCATAAACCGATTTTTCATCACGTAGTAGTTCCAAAGTGAGTAGGGCTGAATGCCCTTCGTTGAGATGGTACTTCTCAATCTGGTATTCCAATGCTTGCAAAATGCGAACACCACCAATCCCCAGTACGATCTCCTGGCCCAGACGATATCGATCATCACCTCCGTAGAGTCTGTCTGTTAATCGACGATCCACATCTGCATTTTCCGGGAGGTCCGTATCAAGGAAGTAAACCGGGATGACATGCCCAGTCTGTCCACGAACCTGATATTCCCATGCACGAAGATGTACGCTTCGCCCTTCAATTGAGACTGAGACACGCTGTTCATGTTCTGTCAGCTTGTCTGGAATAGACCATTCAACGACAGATTCTTGCTGGATACCATTCTCATCAAGTTGCTGATGAAAATAGCCCTCTCTGGCAAGTAAAGTGACACCAACCATAGGGACTTCCAGGTCGGCTGCAGAACGTAAAGTATCCCCTGCCAGAATCCCCAGGCCACCAGAATAAGTGGGAATTTGCGCATCGACGGCAACTTCCATAGAAAAATACGCTATCAACATGCAGGGACCACTCTAAATTCAAGGGATTCATTTGCAGACTATTGGAATGTCGTCGAATTACTAGCCTTTGTGTAGTGACTTGCGGATCTCCATGAGAATAATTCCGAGCATGTTCTTACCTGTCCCATCACCTCCGTCTCCCCAATAACTGTCATTGACTGTGTGTTCCATAAGTTTCGAATTACCAGTGCCTAAGAGAAGTTCCCGCAGTTCATGATGCTGTGTAAACTTAGCGAGGACAGCTTCTCGCATCACAGAATCTTTCACCGACTCCCAATCACGTCGCAGTGGACGCTTTCGGTCACGTCCCATGCGAGCGGCAATCATTGGGGACTTCGCTTTGCGGATAAGCCCTTCGTGTTCAGTACCTGCGAATTTCTGAGCTTGAAAGTAATGCTCGGAGGTCGGCCACTGTTTCCGTTTTAGATTGATTGGATAAGGTGCAAAGTTAGAGAATTCTCCATATTGTTCACCGACGTGATAGAAATTGATGGTACTTGCCATAATTGTGAGTGCCTGTGAAAAAACTAATCTCTTGAGTTCCCAACTGCATCATTGCTTGAGAATTGGTTTCAATAAGGAAATCCAGTGTATCATTCCATAATCCACGAAGTCTGACTGTGCGTCGTTAGAAGTGTTCGAAGTACCTGGTGTTCGGATAGGGTGCACTTTTTGCGTTCCGATCCATAAACAGTTTTACCAAACTGCTCTTCACACATATCAGCGACCCAATGGAAAAAACGATCCTGACCAACAGATGCTTCAAGATGAATAGTAAGGGCTTCTTGAGAGCCAGGTACCGGTTTGACTTCGAATTTTGACTCTCGACAAAAGGCAAAATTCCCAAAGGGCAATGACATCCTGTCTCGATCTAACGAAGTCACCCGAGACGCTATTCACTTTATCTATTGAAAACTTGAGAAGATATTATGAAAGTCGCAGTTTTCAGCGAGCCAAATGGCAGAACACCTGTCAATCCCTCAGAAAAATTAGAATTCACTCCAGGATATGATTCCCAATAGTCCTCGTATCTGGATCGATCTGTGGAATAGCCAGGCCGCCTTGGCTGCAAATGCTTGACGTCACCGCCTGTGCGAGATAAATTCCCAAACAAGCACCCGTAGCTCAGTTGGTTAGAGTGCATGCTTGACATGCATGAGGTCGCTGGTTCGAGTCCAGCCGGGTGCATTTTTCTTAAATTGTGCTGAACGTTTAGTTTACGTACCTATCGTCGATCGATAGTGCAGCCCATTCAAACTAATTAAATCTGGTACTTACCGGATTTGATGGAAATGGGAGGCACTTTGACATGAATTCTAGATCAAAAGTACGTAAATCTCTTCCAAAATATCGTTTGCACAAACCAAGCAAACAAGCTGTGGTCACTCTAAGCGGGAGGGATTTCTATCTCGGTCCACATAATTCCGTTGAGAGTCGCTCTAAATATGACCGACTGATTGCTGAGTGGCTGGTAAATGGGCGAAGTTTAAAGCATGAAGATTGCTCTGAGTCTGAGAAATACACGATCTCAGAGTTGATTGCAGACTACTGGCAGCATGTGAAGGGTTACTACGTCAAAAGCGGTGAGCCAACCAGTGAACAGAGTAATATTCGTTCCGCTTTAAGGCCTGTTCGTAAGCTTTATGGACCAACACCAGCAGACGATTTCAGTCCCTTAGCTCTCAAAGCAGTTCGAGATCAATACGTAGTTCACAGTTCCATCTCAACTTTCACTGCCTCCTATTTTGGAGGCAGTTTTCATTTCTGGAGACAATCATGCTCAAGCCACTCAACAAGTCTGCTGAGAAAACATTCCGTCGTCTGATCGATGGTCTGGAACTTCATCAGTCTCGGATCATCGACAATACAGACAAGACGTTCATGCCAGTTCACATCGAGATCATTGGACAACAACATGTCTCATTGATCGTGAGCATTGCTCACTACTTTGAGCAGCATGGTGATCTGTGCCAAGACCCTGAGATGACGTTCTTGGTGAATGATACTGGCGTGTATGCCATGACATTCCAACAAGCAATCCCACCGATCTATCAGGAAGCAGTGAGACTTGAAGAAGATGGAGTCAGGTACAATGCGAAGTTGCAGCGAGACCTG